GCGGTGCCGGGGATTCCGGGACATCATTCCGGAACAGGCCAGGGGGTTGGCTGGGTGGTGACGGGAGAGGTGAGCGGTGCCGGGGATTCTGGGACATGATCCAGGAACAGACAAGCGGCGTGTCTGGGTGGTGACGGGAGAGGTGGGCGGTGCCGGGGATTCTGGGACATGATCCAGGAACAGACAAGGGGCGTGTCTGGGTTGTGACGGGAGAGGTGGGCGGTGCCGGGGATTCTGGGACATGATCCAGGAACAGACAAGGGGCGTGTCTGGGTGGTGACGGTATCATTGTGTGTGTCAGGTTCCTATAAGGTGTCAGGATGTCTCTGTCTATCTCTCCATGGAGGAGTGGGAGTATCTAGAAGGACACCGGGATCTCTACAAGGACGTGGTGATGGAGAATGCCCCGCCCCTCACATCACCGGGTAAGAGGAGAGAGCAGTACGGAGGCTCCGCCTACATCCCCCATCATCTGATACACACATAGAAGTGTCCTCACGTCGGGTTGTAGTCCCCTCCTGAGAGCGCGTGTGGAAGGGTGGTCATGGCGGGGCCCCATAGGACCATGAAAGCCAAGGAGCCACCTAGTCAGCGATCAGGGAAACATGGGACTGAGGATCTCCGGCCTGGTGATGGTCACTTCCTTGAAGTGGGTTTCCCGTCCGGCACATTAGTAACTGTCCCCGGTACTGAGAGAGATACGGGGGGGCCGCCGTGGCTGGACCTCCTGCTGGTAATAGTAGTTGTCAGGCTGGAGGACTGGCTCGTACAGGACAAATCAGGACGGTTGGGTTATACAGCGTTATCTTCAGTCTACACATCTGGCCCGACATCAGCCAAGCCCAAGTAACTGAGGCAACGTGACAACCAGAGAGTCCCCGACATAACGGAATGCCACAGGAAGTAGTTCCAATGTTCCTTAAAACCTTCTGATCTGAAGGTGCTAAACCTGGATCTTGGGCCAGGCGTCTTGTCCAAACCGCCAAGGTCTGTCTAACCTCCAGGGGAGGTCAGGAGGAACCATCTACCACATCTGATCCTCATCATCAAAGCTGACTAATGTGGGTGGAGTCCTGGGTGAGGGGAACCAACCAATAATCTCTTTCTTTCTATTTGTAGTCCATGGACGGGACGTCGGGAAGATCTCAGAGGAACGTCTCACGTTGTCTCCAGAAGATGAGGACATCACACAGTATAGTCGAGGAGAAGACCATAATGTCCATCAGGTGCCCCACAGTGTGGATGGACCATCGTATTCCTCATATCCTGAGGAACCTCAGACCGAGAGGGGCGGGGCCGTCCTTCCAACGATTGTAGTCCAGGAACAATCTCACAGAGGTCAGAAGTCGTATTCCTGCCCTGAGTGTGGGAAAAGTTTTTCACATAAGTCCCATCTTTCCATACATAATAGATCTCACACGGGGGAGAAACCGTATTCCTGCCATGAGTGTGGGAAAAGTTTTGTCACAAAATCACGTTTAGATAGACACCAAAAGTCTCACAGGGGTGAGAAGCCGTATTCTTGTTCCGAGTGTGGGAAATGTTTTTCACATAAGTCCTATCTTTCCATACATCAGAGAACCCACACAGGGGAGAAACCATATTCCTGTCCAGAGTGTGGGAAATGTTTTTTACGGAAGTCCTATCTTTCCATTCATCAGAGATCTCACACAGGGGAGAAACCATACACTTGTCATGAGTGCGGGAAAAGTTTTGCCACAAAATCAGATTTATGTAAACACCAAAAATCTCATAGGGATGAAAAGCCATATTCTTGCCCTGAGTGTGGGAAAAGTTTTTCGCAGAAGTCCAATCTTTCCAAACATCAGAGATCTCACACAGGGGAGAAGCCGTATTCCTGTCCAGAATGCGGGAAATGTTTTTTACGGAAGTCCAATCTTTCCATACATCAGAGATCTCACACGGGGGAGAAACCATACACTTGCCATGAGTGCGGGAAAAGTTTTCCCACAAAATCAGATTTAAATAAACACCAAAAAGCTCACACGGGTGAAAAGCCATATTCTTGTTCTGAGTGCGGGAAATGTTTTTCGCAGAAGTCCAATCTTTCCAATCATAAGATATGTCACACAGGGGAGAAGCCGTTTGCCTGCCCGGAGTGCGGGAAATGCTTTTCACGCAATTCCCATCTTTCCGCACATCAGAGGTCTCACACAGGGGAGAAGCCATATGTCTGCCCTGACTGCGGGAAAGGTTTTCTGCAGAAATCCTATCTTTACATACATTATAGATCTCACACAGGGGAGAAGCCGTATGCCTGCCCTGAGTGCGGGAGAGGTTTTGTCAAAAAATCCATTTTAGATAGACACCAAAAATCTCACTTGGGCAATAAGCCATTTCATTGCTCGGAATGTGGGAAATGTTTTTCGCAGAAGTCCCACCTTTGCAGGCATCAGAAGTCTCACACGGGAGAAGCCGGGTGCTGGAAATGTTTTACCAGCAAATCAGTTTTAGATAGACACCAAAAGTAAAAAGCCATATTCTTGTTCTGAGTGTGGGAAATGCTTTTCACCAAAGTCCTATCTCTCTATGCTTGAGAGATCTAGCGCAGAAGAGAAGCTGTATTCCTGTCCTGAGTGCGGGAAAAGCTTTGCCACAAAATCAGATTTAGATGTACATCAAAGATCTCCCAGGGGTGAAAAACCACATACCTGAGTGTGGAAGGAGTTCTTCACAGAAAACCTATCTTTCCATATGTTACAGATCTCACACAGCAGAGAAGGTGCATTGTTGTCCTGAGTGTGGAAAACGTTTTGTTCCTGCACGAGTGCAGAAAAAGTATTTCACAAAACTCAGATCTTGTTACAAATCAAAGATATTACACGGGAGAAACCGGTTTCCAACTCTGAGTGTGGGAAGAGTTTTACCCGGAAATCAGATCTTGTTATACATTAAACATTTAGCACCAGATTTCCCTGCCCTGAGTGTGGGAAAGGTTTTTTCTGTCAAAAACTTCTTAATGCACTTCAAAGATCTCACATGTGTGAGAGAGCACATTCCTGCCCCGGGTTCGGGGAAAGGTTCTCAGTTAAGAGACATTAGAGAATGCACACTGGTGAAATGCCATTTTGCTGCCACGAGTGCGGAAAAAGTTAGACGTGGAAATTAGAACTTGCTATACATGAGAGATCTCACACTGGGTAGAAGCCGTATTCCTGTCCTGATTTGGGGAAACTTTTTTCAAAGTAGCCCGATCTCTAAGCACATCAGAGACCCCACTGCTCCCTCAAGTGTATTAGAGTGCGGGAAATGTCTTCTCTATGTCTCATCATAGATCTGACGCTGGAAAGAATCACACCTCAGAAAACACGTGGCTGACCTCTCCTCTGATCAGAGTTGACTAAAGACTTCAAAGTTGTGCCTGGCTTCCTCTGCTAGGGACGGGGGTCACTGCTGGTTGAGTCCCTCTAGCAGTGTAGTCTGATCTCCCTTCAAAGGAAGACATCATGGTGAGGGAGGAGCTTGTGGATGAAGAGAAGGGGAGATCAGACTACACGATAGGACTGACAATGTCACTGCAGTGGTGATCAGTCTGCACAGGCAGCTCCTTGGACTCGGAGAGCCCCCTGCTGGAGGGAAGTGGAACCTACGACATCTTCAGGTGGAACTTTTCCCACTTCCTCCATCATACAATTTGTTGATTTGGTAATAATTGTGTCTTCAGATTTCTATTATAACATTAAAGTTTAGAGATGAAGGTTCTCGTTGTTTGTCCTGTTTTTGTGTTATGTCCTTATCACAGCGAGACCATCCCAGAGATCTCCCCCTTATCACAGCGGGACCATCCCAGAGATCTCCCCCTTATCACAGCGGGACCATCCCAGAGATCTCCCCCTTATCACAGCGGGACCATCCCAGAGATCTCCCCCTTATCACAGCGGGACCATCCCAGAGATCTCCCCCTTATCACAGCGGGACCATCCCAGAGATCTCCCCCTTATCACAGCGGGACCATCCCAGAGATCTCCCCCTTATCACAGCGGGACCATCCCAGAGATCTCCCCCTTATCACAGCGGGACCATCCCAGAGATCTCCCCCTTATCACAGCGGGACCATCCCAGAGATCTCCCCCTTATCACAGCGGGACCATCCCAGAGATCTCCCCCTTATCACAGCGGGACCATCCCAGAGATCTCCCCCTTATCACAGCGGGACCATCCCAGAGATCTCCCCCTTATCACAGCGGGACCATCCCAGAGATCTCCCCCTTATCACAGCGGGACCATCCCAGAGATCTCCCCCTTATCACAGCGGGACCATCCCAGAGATCTCCCCCTTATCACAGCGGGACCATCCCAGAGATCTCCCCCTTATCACAGCGGGACCATCCCAGAGATCTCCTTATCACAGCGGGACTATCCCAGAGATCTCCCCCTTATCACAGCAAGACCATCCCAGAGAGCTCCTCCTTATCACAGCGGGACCATCCCAGAGCTCTCCTCATCACAGCGGGACCATCCCAGAGATCTCCCCCTTATCACAGCGGGACCATCCCAGAGATCTCCCCCTTATCACAGCGGGACCATCCCAGAGATCTCCCCCTTATCACAGCGGGACCATCCCAGAGATCTCCCCCTTATCACAGCGGGACCATCCCAGAGATCTCCCCCTTATCACAGCGGGACCATCCCAGAGATCTCCCCCTTATCACAGCGGGACCATCCCAGAGATCTCCCCCTTATCACAGCGGGACCATCCCAGAGATCTCCCCCTTATCACAGCGGGACCATCCCAGAGATCTCCCCCTTATCACAGCGGGACCATCCCAGAGATCTCCCCCTTATCACACCTGATCGGACTGCAGCACTTGGACGCTCAGTTACCATACAGAAGGTTTTTCCGTGACAAACTGATGAGTCCACGTTCTACAGATTGCTGATTGGTGGAGGACATTCTACCCCTTCACCCTCCACGTGGTGTCACACTCATACAGAGATCTACGGGGGCACTGAATACAACATACTACATGATATGAATTAGGAGTCTAGCACCCCCTTGACCCCCCCATGTTGGGGGCCTCAGAATCAGGGTGGGATGACCTTTCACCTCAGGGATGAGTCCTTAGCCGCTTGTGGGATGTCAATGTAAAGTTGGGTTCCAGTCTCACACACCACTTGCCAGTGCAGAGGACTTTATACCGATTGTGGTGACTCTGTGTATTGTAGAACCTCAGCTGGTCAGTAGACTTAGCACAGAGCTCCCTGGGCGGGACACCGAACTTCTCTCTGAGGTCCAAGCCCCATCCTGGATTCTCCAACAGAAGAAGTTCTTCTCTGGTCCTCCATCCCGGGAACAGCGTCTCCCCTTCACTGGCAGAACACTTGTAGACCCCAACTGGGGGACTGAACCAAAATGTTTTTCTTTCGGCGAGTTGGTGGCCGTGGTTCCGGGCCAGGGTTGTAGGGAAGAGGCCCTTGTCCTCATCCACATGGGGACAAGGTGCTTCTCCAGGGGTTCCCATGGTAAGGTCATGTGGCCTAGAAGGTGCAGGAGGGGGGCGCTGCTCGGATCAAGGGCCTGGTATGGAATTTTAGGGGGAACCCCTAATTTGGGGCATTCCTACCAGAACTGAAGGGTCTTGTATGACTGGCGGAGGGTCTATTAACGAACCACACATGTCTAAGGCCTACTTCACCACGAGTGGAGGCCTTGAACAGAATCGCCGAACCGTACGCTTCACCGAACGTCTCTGCTCTTTCACCCTTCGGAGAATACGGGTGAACGGCAACGAAGGAACTGCTGAAAGTTGGCTTCAGCCGATCCAGATGTGGCATGGGCCGAGGCGAAAGGTCTGCTCCCAACGCTTCGGCCTGGACGAGCTAAGGCTTCCCAGGGCTGAGGTGACGGCAGGAGAACCGAGGGCAGGCGACGTGCGGTTAAAATACGGTTCGGCTCGGTTATTCACACGGCAGCTTAGCGAATGACCCTCGGAAATGTCATCACGGCCGTGTTCACGGTGTGTGAGAGATCTCGGGTCTGCAGTTCCTCTGAGCTCCACAAGGTGGTGATCTCACCCATACCCAGAGAGGAAGTCTCTATGGAAAACAGACAGGAAGTGATGTCAGGATCAGACAAGAAGTTCTAGCTCTGAGGTGATTTTGGAGATAGCAGAGAGGAGACATTGCTGGAACTGGGATCAGAGGAGGTGATAATATTTTATATTTTCACCCAGTAACCCCCCCGTTATGCCCGTTCACTTTGGTTCTGACACGGCCTGGAGGTAAGTTTCGGGTCATTATCTTGCTGTAGGATGAACCCCTGACCAACTAGGTGCACACCAGACTATCACGCTTCCTCCTCCATGTTTCACAGTTGGTGTCACCCTTCGAGGAACCATCTTGTTGTCTACTCGACGTCATACTAAAAAACACCCTGCGCGATGAAAAGAAGATCTCACATTTTCATTCATCGGTCCATAAGACCTTCTTCCAGTCCTCAGTAGTCCACCGGTGGTGCTTCATGGCCTCTTTTTCTTATTTTGCCATCTCGGCAATGGTTTTCTTACCGCCGTTCGACTTGTCAAACCTGCAGCTCCAAGTCTTCTCTTCACAGTTTAAGCGGAGACTTTCTTCGATCGGTGTCGGTGTACTCACTGGCACCTTGGCTTTCTTTGACTTTGTGCTTGAAGCTGTTGTCCTGTGAGCCGCCTATCACGCAAGCCGTTGACTCTGAGAAACTTGTCTTCTGACTCTGTTGTGGCTTTGGGTCTGCCAGAACTCTTCCTGTCAGCGCTTCCAAGTGCCTTTCGACAGTGTAGGAAACTGTACTCACTGGCACCTTGGCTTTCTTTGACTTTTTGCTTGAAGCTGTTGTCATGAGAGCCGTCTATCACGCAAGCCTTGGACACTGAGAAACTTGTCTTCTGAATTCTGTTGTGGTTTAGCTCCTGCCGGCGCTTCCTCCAGTTTCCAAGTGCCTTTCGACGGTGTCGGAAACTGTACTCACTGGCACCTTGGCTTTCTTTGACTTTGTGCTTGAAGCTGTTGTCCTGTGAGCCGCCTATCACGCAAGCCGTTGACTCTGAGAAACTTGTCTTCTGACTCTGTTGTGGCTTTGGGTCTGCCAGAACTCTTCCTGTCAGCGCTTCCTCTAGTTTCCAAGTGCCTTTCGACGGTGTCGGAAACTGTACCCACTGGCACCTTGGCTTTCTTTGCAATTTCTGCACTTTTAAGGTTTATCATGGTCTGTCTGTCTTGCTTTGTCAATTGCCTTTTTCTGGCCATTTTGAGAGCGATATATACTACTTCCTGCCGTACAATACGGTCCAAATATTGCTCACCACGGCGTGGTAATAGAGTCCGCCCCAGCACTGCTTCTATACAGACCGAGGGCTCGCGTGTGATCCGCAGAAGGTGGGACACCTGTAGGGATTGTCGGCATCGACTTTCTAGGCTTCGTTTACTAACATTGCCGCAGAACAATTGTGAGTGGTGACCCCGCTACTTCCTCCCAGGAAAATGACTTCCTGTG